ATGTGAGTGCACACACAAACGTGTGAAGTAGAATAACTGATGTTACGCTTTAGAATGCAGTTACACAAACTGATATTAAAAACTCAATTTAATGAGGGATGCGCTGGAAATTACTCTGCGGAAAAGCGTTTGTTGACAATGATCCCAATAAAGTCATTGCTATCAGGCGTAAAAATAGTCTGCACCTTTTTCCATCAAGCTTTAGCCAAAGCCCGCAGTCCTTTGGCCTCAACCCGTAATCCTTTATCTATAACCCGCCATGCTTTAGCTTCGACCCGTAATCCTTTAGCCTTCACCCACATTCCTTTAGACAAAACCCGCAATGCTTTAGCCGCGACCGTTAGTCCTCTAGCCTCGACGTACAAACTTTATTCATACCGCTGTAGGCGGGTCTGATAAAAAATTATCAGAATATTCCGTTGAAAAAAATTATTTTCCACAAATCTTGATGTTGCAAGCAGTGGATATCGTCATTGTCAATGAAGTAAACAATTAAGTAATTCTGTGGAAACTCTCCTTTTCAACAAGTAAACGTGCGAGATATTTAAAAGCAGAATCACCATTTGAAGAGGTACGTGCAACTATGAGTTTGAACCTTGTGCGTGTGGATGACTTTGATACAGCTTTTGAAAGTTCCTTGTGTAATGAGTGAGGAGTGTCTAAGAGTATTTTGGTGGTAAAATTTTCACATGCTGGTAAATGTCTGTCTAAAATAGAGTTGGCAAGTTTATCTCTGACGATCTCACCACCTTTAAAGAGCTCTCACCAGTAAGTAAGTCTTCTTTTCAAAATACCCAAGAAAATCACCAGGGAGCAGTACAATCAGTGAGGGAGCACGCATGCATTCACGAGCTTAACAATCAACTTGGGGGAACAGAAGAGATTTTTAATCGGAGTGAGAAATACTAAACCTTTCTAACTTTACAGCATGTGTTCTGAACTTGCATGGGCAACGGTAAATTATGCGGCAGGCATTTTAGCATTGTTGATGTCAGTATGCGTTCATGATTGATAGAAAGGGTGGGAAACCTATCTGTGAAGGCTGAATATGGTTCATCGACTAACAGGAAAAACACAATATCCTGACATTTTGATGCCTTTAATGAGAGGGAACGGGAAAAAGACCAGCTAATCCGTCGTTTCATTTGCTTTGAATTTCTAAAGCCTCTTAAGGGGTGAGCGCTTTGCATCCTAAAACAACATCCTCTGCATATTTATAACCAATGAATGTAGGAGGAATGGCTAATTGTTTGGCATGCAATGAAAAGTAAAAGGGGAAAAATTGCAACTTGCAGAACACCGGAACCAGCTGGGCGAGTAGAACATTTCTTGCCGTTCAAACACAGGAACTGCCTCCTATTCGTAAAATAAACGCTGACCAATTTGCCAACATTTAGATTAATATCACTCCCATACCATACAGTTTCAGCAACACCGATCGATCAAGACTTCCGAATGCGTTTTTGTAGTCAAAGAACACCGTTCTGATCGTCTTAATTTTCTTATCTAGAGCCGAAATTACTGAATGAACACGGTAATCAACGGCATCAAGTGTTGAGCGTGAAGATCGATAGGTGAATTGATGTGTCGTCTCCGGTAGACTGTGACAACCCACGATGGAAAGCAGCTCTCAAATAATTTGAGCATGATTCACGTGCAGACTATGGGACGGTACTTCCTAGGTGCCTTTCTGGGGACGGAAGTTATCTTGGCCAGTCTCCAAAGGTTAGCGATTTTTCCTCTTATCAGACAGTCACTGAATATGTTAGATAGTGGAACTGAAAGAATGTACGCGCACACATTAAGTATCATGGATAATATTACATCTGAACCAGATGCTTAATTCATCTTCGTTCTCTGTAACTGTCGGAGTACCGTGGCGAGTTCGATAGTTGGTGGTGGAGTAGAGCTGATCAAGTCTGGCTGGGCTGTGTACCGTGAAGTTGGACTAAACTCGAAATTTTGTCTTTGAACATCGACAGTTTCCCTTTTGTGTTTGTCGGTTTTTAACACAGGTTTGACAACTCTCCGCATGCCACGACAACTTATATTTCTTAGGATAGTATCTATTTAAACTATTTACTTCATTGCATTCAATGAAGTGGTAACTGATTTTATTTGTCGAGTATTTGTAGATGACGGCAGTTGATTTACTCTATTTGTTGTCAACGTAACTTGCAACACCTCCACCTCGTTTACAGACACTCGTGGTACGGTGCACTCGATACAAATTATAACAATCCAGTTGTACACTTTCAATGGAAATTTCTTCGGGCAACCACAATTCTTGGGCATAATAATGCCGAGGTTTTTGTACTCCTTTTTTGTGCAATGTCTGCTACATCGTCGACTTTTCCCAACAGACAACGAATGTTGCATGTTAAAAAACGAGAGAAATTTGCATTTTACTGGTACTGCATTGTCTGAGACCGACTTGCCAATCTGCGAGGTTTACATTTTGTCGTCTTGTGTTTTCATAATCCTCTTGAGCTTATTTCCCTTTTTGTTGGCATAATTCACGAAAGGTGCGGTTCGACAGCACGTAAGGATTTCGCAGCCTTGATCTTTTATGTGTACGAGCTCAGAAAGAAACCAGCTCCCCTCCGAAAAAATTACTGCTTCAAGTATGTATGTATCTACTCTTCCTCAGCAGTTATGCTCTTTTTTAACTCAATTTTCAAAGTCTAACGTAAAATGATTTCACCATAGTTTTAAGGTCTCCACAACTTCTTTCTCAGCATATTGATGGCAACAAAATATCTTGGTTGAACTAGTTTAAAAGTAATAAGATATCTAGGATAATCGTAATAACAGAAAACATGGTGCTGAAGATCATTAGTGGCAAAATGGTACTATCACGATAGCGTCAAATCTCCAAACATATGATGACTTCCATCCCTCTCTCCACCTCTTTGTCTCTACGGATGCAGTATTGTTTCATATAACTCCAGTATGTTTGCCGGTCAAACATCAGCTATTCTATGTCTGAAAAAAAGATAATTTTATCACTATTTCCCCCACTAAACGTCTTCTTTGATTTATATTATATTCACGTCTCTTCGTTGTATAGGTTCGAAAATTGCTTCTACTTTGCCACTCAGGCACATATAGCGTATCACGAGTTGATTTGTTCTCACAGTGAACATGTTCTCCGTCTGTTGTGTTTTGGGTAATCGTTTCAATCGTCCCCGGGTTATCTTCAGGTACACACGACTGCCAATAAAACTGATATTTTCGTAACCTTCCAACAATATCATTTTATTTCATAACCTCCATTATTGTTTTATTGGTTCCAAGTAACACACCACGCTTGTTTTGCTCCGTTCCTCTACGGCCGTTATTTTCTATATAAACCACAACACTAGGCCATCTGAAGTTTTCGTTTTCCAAATGCCTCTTTTTGTTTTCTGACAGCGGAAAGAGAATCACCCAGTTTGCCTTGATATTTACTTGGGCCGCTTAGGGTATAGGGAGGTAAATCTTACTCATTTGGTCTCCAAGAATTCCTGCAGAAATATTTGCAGCTCATAATCTGGTACTCTGGCACTCCGACATCGATCACGGAGGATTCTTTTGGTACTGTGCTTATTTTAAACCTTGGATCAAAAACGGTTTTTCATTTTATCGTAACCCACAGATTCCAAATGTGGTCTCACGGAAGTTAACATTTTACACAATTCTGTCATATGTTTTTGTGCCATGATAATACCCCGTCACGAACAACAATTATGGTTAGGCGGCGAGGGCCACCATCGTACGGCCCTGCTCGGTGCGAGTTTGAACCCCACTGTTGCCATCCCAATTACCTACTTTTTACCCTTCCCTGATGTCCCTTTCATTGATCAGTTTCCTGTTCCTCAAAATGTGCAAAACGTGCAAGCCAACAGGTGGTGACTATGCAAGTGGTATTATTGCGGTTCCTCTCTCCTTGTCTATTTAACTTCGTTATGGATTTTATTTTGAAAATAGTGCGAGAATAGTGGCATCGGTTCGCTCCCAAGTGGAAGACTGTCTAACCTGGAATATATTGACAACATTGTACTGTTTACCAAAGATTCAGGTAAGTTGCAAGCTTTCCCGGACGGTTGGAGTGTTAATGTAGCCATGTTTGGTATGGATTTTGCACCTTCAAAGTGTACAACTGAAAAAATGTAATAGGTGGTCAAAATAAGATCTAATACGAGAGTTATGAAAACACTGACCATGGAAATTGTTCCGTAGATCGATCTAGGCTTCGAGACCTTTGTAATCGATGGTTAGATACACAGAGTGATATGGTTGTGGCGGAAACAGTAGCGTTCGTGTATCTACTTAATTTCCTTGCAACCTTAGTCTTCATGAGTTCTCTATTTTCACTTTGAAACTGATTTGAGTATTCCCATCTTCCAATTTCTCCTTTATCCAAACGAACAACAGCCAAAACCACCACACGAAGGTGCATGATCAATGGTTGCAATACTGAAACCGAAACTAGGTAAACTTTGTTTCCGATTCATCGAAACACGGACAGTTGTGTCATTTGTGGTTGATCAGAAAAGTAATTTTTTTTTAATCACATTTACTCACAGTGCTTGGTCCGTTATTTGGTTTGTAAAGGTGACTTGCGTTGAATAAAGATGTTGCATGTGCACAAGCTGATCGTTTTTATCAATCAGGGCAATCCAAATGACGATCTATCCTCACTAGTTCATTCCCTTTTTGGCAGCTGCCCAATTTGGACAAAAAGGTGCATTCAGCACAGGCAAATGAGATTCAGTTTTTCATATTTCGGTTGTCAGCTGGGTACAGTTGCTTCCGTGTGCACCCACAAGGGGGGGGCAATTGCGGTGACAGAATTCAATTTTGAACAATGAGAAGGGAGCAATAATAATTGTTTAAGGCCCTAATCTCTACCAGTTTGCAAGCTAGCAACCACTGCTTATACATGCTGTGTTTTGTCGCACGGGGATGGAAACGTATTGGGCCAATCACACTGAGAAGGAATAATCCGGAATTGACCATCAGGGCATGTCCCAAATGTAAACGGCTCCATCTTCGCTCACTGTGATAACACGTCGCTGATCAGGAGCGATGCGTAGACGTGTGATTGGTGATGTATGTCCCAATCCCACGTGAGTTACCTCACCTTCGTTGTACTTCCAGACCTGTAAAGGGAGAGGGAGAGGAACGTTTAGAAGAAGCGTCAAACTGCACTAATTTAAATTTTGCTAGACGAATCAGATTAATGTTCTCGTGTTAGATGATTGCACAAAAAATGTTTATTGATGAAAGTTAGGTCAACAAGACGACGCGTTGAATGTAAATCTTAATTCTATCCTTGTCGGTCTCCCTTAAACCAATGAACGGGAGTTCTATTCAAATTGGAGTATTTCTGTTCAATAGAGCCATTCCAGAATGGACCGAGCTCGCCATACTGCTTCAGAATCCAAGTACGTAAATCATCTTTTAAACACCTAGAATTACCACTTTGTTAAAAGGGAAGAATAAATTTTGCGAGAAATTCTTTTCCTGTTTAATGGCAAATCAGTCTCTATTGGAATATTTAGAAAATATACAATCTTTTGGCGGTAAGTGAAGTATGCCACTTCATTGTCATCGAAGGTATCTGATAGATAGTTAGTGACCTTGAAGCTCAACACTGTTGGTCTTCTTTTCCAACTTTTCTACATAATTTTCCGGTTGATCACAATCTCCTTCCCTGAATATTGATTATGCATCGGATGCACAGATGGACAACCAGTCCGGTCGTCCAACTGGGACAAATACATCTGGTGGGTGTCTGTCATTGGTTTATATATGTTGCATGCTTACTTCGCCGTTATACGCACCTGTCGACCAAAGTTCGACAAAATTTTCCACATTTTTCCCCTCGTCACCATCCACACACATGTACAGGTACTCAAAATCCCATCCGTCAGCCTATCAGACCAATCACTGGCACGATGACGAACGCTTTTGGTCATCGAAATCCCGCTGTTAGTGAGATCAATCTGTGTGTATTTGATTCTGTCAGGAAACACATGCTGGTGGTCGATATAGAATGGGCTCGGTTATATGAAGACAATGCAATG